AAAAAGAGAGAGAATTGAAGATGATTCCTCCACCCATGGCATTACCCAGACAGGTATAGGGACCTTGTTGACACTCAAAATCTCATTGGTTGGGACAACTTACTGAGAGGAACGTTTGTCCAGCACTGGGCTAGCATCAAGATGCATATCTGCATCGGGTCGGCTCCCGGAGACCACCAAGAAGGGCAGCTCTGGGTCACCAACTAGCCTCACTGCTCATCCAGCAGTGTGGAACCTGTGGGAGGATCGAAATGCTGCCAGCATGGCAAAGACAGGGAAACCAGTGGAAGAAGAAGCACGAACACCTTCAGCGGGAGGTGGAACTGATCTACGAGAAAGCGGATCTGATTCCAGGGAGCTGGTGATTTCATCTTCAAGCGATCCCTTGATGAGCAAATGGCAAAGAGCCCAGGCGACATAAAAGCGTGGCTTGCCAATTGGCTGCCGTCGTCGACAAGGCACTCAGGGACGAGCATGCACGCACCGAGCAGAACAATGACACAGGTAACTTACGCACAAAGGGGGTCTTACCATAGAAATAGATGGCAATCCAGCCAAGGGTAGTTAGTTAGCTTGCAAAGCACCCTCCGGAGTTTTTAAACTTCTCCGGGTGGGGGGCTTGCACTAGGCCGGTTCCTATGTGGGCGTCCTTGTACGTCTGAGGTACTCCGGTTCAATATGGCTCCGTTCAGCGGGTGGTCTATTGAGGTGCAGCCTAAATAATAAAACTTCGTTATTTTTTGGTTTCCACGGTGGCTGCGCCTATCACTCCACCGTCTTCATCATTAAGACACACTTTAATGCTGCTGATAAGCGACGTAGGATCATTTTCGGCGGCCTCAAGGACTCTTTTTACAGGATCAGCCATGGTGAAGTAGGCTTTCTGTCACCTCTTGCTTAGCAACGTGCTGCCGCCATGATTAATAAAGGTTAACGGTTTGCGTGGAGTGTCTTGGACAGTCCTATTACTGTAGCTAGCTAGTCACGGTGGGGACTCGACTCGCTCGATCGATCGCCCAAGTCCCGCCCTGGCCCACATCGGTTCAGAGGGGACCAGCCCTGCAAGGTCCCGAATTCGGCCGATTTCAATTGTGCATAGGTGGTTAGTTTTACGGAAATGAGACTTCCAAAAATTGCCGAAGTTAAGGATGTCCCACGGGGTAAGGGTCAGTTTTAGTCATGCTTCGAAAACAACACGAGAATAGCACGACAACAACAACAAAACCTCCATTTCGGGCTGGTGTCTTCAACCGATTCGTTCTCCTCCCATGTAGAGAGTTTGCATAGAGTGTTATAGTATGCCTTGTAGAGGAGGAGGAGCTCTATCTGTATGACTGGAAAGAAACACAAAACATGTTAAAATGGGCCTCCACAATCGTTAGCTGAAGATGGTATCTCAAAACTCGTTGAACGGGGACAGGGCTGTTAACTTTGGCGATAAAGCATTAGCACGCATTAGCCCCTTTTATGTTTCTTTTGGCAGGATGAGATGCAGTAGAGTACACTGTACAAGATAGTCTATTTCATGTAATACCCAAAACAGAGTTATTGTGTGTCTATTTGGCGAAGCAAGCTGGAAGCATTAGGCTGATTGTGGTTTTGTTGTTGTTTTCGTGCTATTCTCGCGTTATTTCATTTCTTAAAACCAAGGAACACAGTATCCCCCGTGGGATATCCTTAACAATCAGTTCTACGGAAATTTCCGTAAAACTAGTAGTTTTACGGTTTCAGTCGTGTTTACATTAACGTTCTATAAGGGATTTTGACCTAGTTTTACGGAAATAGATTTACCGTTTTTAGTTCTACGAAAATTTTCCGTAAAACTGCTAGTTCTACGGAAATTTCGATAAATTACGGAAGTTGACTTTCCGTAAAAGTGAAATCTGATATTTACGGAAACTTGGGAATTTGGTGTTTTTTTTGGTGTGTTGATTGGTGTGTTTTGGGTGTGTTTAATTAAGTGGCAGTGCCTTTTCACTGGTAATTTGGTGTGTTCAACTGGTAATTTGGTGTGTTTATTTAACGGGGCAGTGCCTTTTCACCAGTATTTTGGTGTATTTTCTTTGCTTTAAAAGTGTGTTTCTATTAACTAATGAAAGGGCCGGAAATCACGATTTTATGAATCCAACCAAATGATTCAATTCAAAACCTAAATATAAAATCGAAACCAAAATATGAAACCGAAACCAAATTACTATGGTAATTAACTAGTAAAATCAAGCCGAAACCAAAATATAAAGTCGAAACCAAATTATATAATCGAAACACAAGTATAAATCAGAACTTGTGTAAATCACGATTTCGGGCCCTTTCAATGGCTTTACCTTTGCAGGCTAGCTTTTTGCGGTAGTGTGTTTTTATTTAAATTTACCTTGCTGCCTATGATGTACTAGTACTCGTACTGGTAGGTTTCAATGATGACCGAGCTGGAGCTGCCCATGGCAACCTGTAGGGCCTCCTGAAGGGTCTCTTTGTATCAGCAGGTGGTTGCAATCACATGCCACCCTGCCTGTACATATGAGGAGATCATTGTTTGTTTGTTGTTTCCATTTTTGCTCATAGGTACAATAATGATGGACGATCAGAGAAGACAGAGGGACGACAATCAAGGTTAACCACCAGTACCGCAAAATGCAGAAGCCTATCGAACATGGCTACAATATTTTGAGAACTATCGTTGAATTTCTTCTTGGTCACAGCTATATTGTACAGGTTATTGATGAAATTAACGCAAACAAAGAATCCACAAAGAAGTGAAATCAGATATAGAACTTAGTAGTTATTCTTTAGTTGGTAGAAGTTTGATACTATTTTGGTTATCGTGAAAGTTTGCGTGTTTTGTACTCACTAGTGTATAGTCACGCAAACGCAAATGCATACGCATACGCATACGCAAAATTAATAAGCCCCAACACAGGTTAAGTCGTGACACTACTCTCAAACGTGCCTGCCCAAGACGCGTCCTGTTGAGAGGCCTGCTCCGAGCGCATAAAGTAGGAGCAAGTGTGCATCTAGAGGAATGTACCACGGAACTCGCATCCTCTGCTCTTCATTCCTCTTCCAACAGACCAGGATCGTGCCTCAATGGCAGGATCCACGATTTAGGGCAGGATTTTCGAATCAGATTTAGGGCAGAGTTTGAAACTCTACCCTATAGGGCAGAGTTTTGAAACTCTACCCTAAACTCTACCCTATAGGGCCGAGTTTTCAAACTCTACCCTAATAAGTTTCAAACTCTACCCTAAATCGAAACGGGATTGCGTACTAGTAGGGTAGAGTTGCTACCCTAAATCGAAATGGGACTGCGCAGCAACTCTACCCTAAATCGAAACGCGACTGCGTAGCCAGTACTAGTACGCAGTCCCGTTTCGATTTAGGGTAGAGTTTGAAACTCTGCCCTATAGGATAGAGTTTAGGGCAGAGAAACAATTAGGGCAGAGTTTGAAACTCTGCATATAGGGCAGAGTTTCAAACTCTACCCAAGATTTAGGGTAGAGTTTCAAACTCTACCCTATTCGAAACTCTACCCTAAATCCGGGATTCCCCTTTGAGCCACGCTTCAGAGCAATGATAATGGTCACCTAAGATGGTTACTAGAGCTACACAAGTGCATTGCTCATGTTTTCGCTTTCCCTGACCCATCCCGCCCTTTTGTTCTGTAAAGAGTTCACAGCTGTATGAGTGTGGCCAATGCCACCACTCACACAGCTTGGGTTAGGCACAAAGCAATAGTAGCATTAACAGCTCTATAGCCATAAGCCCAAACCACTTAGTACTCCTAGCTCGTAGCTCCGGCCATAGTGTAGACAGGGGTAGACAATAGCCCTGTAGGTGTCCCAGAATGTCATTGCATGCATGCAAAGCTTGCCTACCTAGCTTTATGAGTCTGGCTATAATCTGTCGTTGCTTTGCCGCCAGCATTATAGTTGGGGCAGACGACAAAACTTGATATTCAAATCCAAAATAGGATCACTTCCGAAGCTTGCCCCTCGCCTCAGCTCAATGTTTTTTTTTCCTCCTCTTCCTTTTCCCCTGGTTGCACTGGACAGAACAGACCTGCCCATCATGCAAGACTTGCACTTCTGCGAACGGGGAATGAGTCCAATGATGCCCCCCTTGCGGACTGACCCATTGGTTCACCGGATATAGAAGGCTCTTGAACTTGAGCCCTGGAGACGTCAACGTATGGAGAACCTGAGAGGGCTCAACGCAATCATTAAAGGTGAGGACGGCCCGGAAGTCGAGTTCAAATGTATTCTCGTACAGGTTGCAGGCTGGGCACAGTGAATGGACGGTTTGGCTGGAAACAGCCTCACCGGTCAATGTCTGAAAATCGTAGATTCGACCCAGCTCTCGTTCCAAAAAGCGAAAGGATTCCAAGGCAATATTGGCTTCATGCAGATCCATGGCTTCCGACGGCATGGCAGAGTCGTACGCCGGCTCAAAGGTGAAACTGATCGTTCCGTCCAAGGTGAATGAGTTCGTACTGGCATCGCCTCGACAAAATGGAACGTAAGCTTCATTCGAGACAATTCCATTAGTGATGACTTTTTTCTTTGGTACTCTCGGTGGGCGGGAAGGAGTTTGGGCAGTTGGTGATGCTGTCGGAGGCACAGTCGCGGGCATAACTGTGGGCCAAGGAGTTGGTTTTCGTGTCGGAGGAATAGTCGGCCAAGAGGTTGGTTTTTCTGTCGGAGGGGCTGTAGGGGGATTAGTGGGAGTTTCTGTAGGAGGATTCGTTGGTGGTTCAGTAGGCGATTTGCTTGGGCTGGAGCTTGGGCTGGAGCTTGGGCTGCCGTTAGGACTTCCTGTAGGTGGATCAGTCGGAACCTCGGTGGGGGGCAATGTGGGCCGATTAGTTGGTGATCGAGTTGGAAGGTTGGTAGGAGGATTGCTTGGGGGAGTGGTAGGATGCGCTGTTGGGATCCATGTAGGTAGCTCAGTTGGGGGGTCTGTTGGGGGTGTTGTAGGCGCTGGAGCTCCGCCTCCAATTGGAGGCAATGTTAATGCTCTGGTGTCTTCAGTTGGTGCTGGTGTTGGCATATCTGTGGGAGGCAGCGATGGAGGGCTAGTTGGCATGCCTGTTGGTAGGTTTGTTGGAGGGTTTGTTGGGTGTCTTGTTGGGAGGTTTGTTGGAGGCTCTGTTGGGCTTCCGGTTGGTTGCCTTGTGGGCCAAGGCGTGGGATTTGGCGTAGGATTGGGTGTTGGTGGGTTAGTGGGACCCTCGGTAGATGGCGCCCCAGTTGGTTGCGCTGTTGGGATTGCAGTGGGAGGATCTGTCAGAGGATACGTGGGCCACGGAGTCGGAGGCAGGGTTGTCAAGAACCAAGCTTGTGTATTCGCTGGAGGAGAAGGCCCAGGAGTTGGAAATGGTGTGGGTTGGATTGTTGTTGGGACCCCTGTGGGGTTTGCAGTGGTTGGTTGTGGTGTGCCCGTTGGAGGAAAGAGGTTGTCGAGTGGTAGTGTCGGATTCGCAATCACTTCCGTGCCAATCATCATCAGTGGTGCGATTGTGGGGAATCTTGTGGGTGAGGGTGTCGGAAATCCGCTGGGCGTGGCTGTTGTGGGATCAACTGTGGTCGGGATGACTGTAGTTGGTGAAGCAGTCATGGGAGACATTGTTGTGGGCATGATGGTTGGTGGCGATGTTGTTTGCAAAACAAAGCTGGGATAACTTGATGGAGCCAGGGTCAAGAATGATGATGGCAGCGACGTTGGCAAAGCCACCAAAGTTGGCTCGGGTGTTTGTATCGCCGGAAGAAACGTAAGCTTTGTAGTTCGTAGAATAGTCGGTCGGAGGGTCCCAGCGGTTGACAAGGTTGTTGTTGGGGACAAAGACAGAGGTTCCTCTGTCATGGCAACGGTTGACGAGGGCTGCATGGATTTGTCGTCCGTGACGGGCATGGCTGTCGTAGGGAATGCTTGATCCGGACCAACAAAATTAGTTGGTGCTCTAGTTGTTGGCGTGTTGGTGGATGGAGCCATGGATGGAGGGAACCTGCTGATTGTGGTTGGTGCCAAAGTGGGCCCCGGAGTGGTACCGGTACTATTGGCTGGGTTGGATGAGGAAGGAGTGTTGGGAGACTGTCTTGCTTTTCGAGTCGCCAACACTGGTATCAATACAAAAAGAAACACGAGTGTAGCGATGACTGCCGCCGTGAGAACCAACCGACGGTTGCGCCATGAAAGTTTGCCTTTTCGAGTCGTCCTGTCGATTTTCTTGTTGTTGGGGTGTAGTGGTTGTTTTTGTTTTTGTTGGATTTGTTGTAAATCATTGTGAGAGTCGTACAAAATGTTTGGATCTCCTGGTGGTGGATACGCCAAGCCATCGTTCCCGTGGGCTTTGATTCCGTTGAATTGGTTTGATACTGGCTGAGCTGGTCCTTGGTATTTCTCCTGCAACGGGTCCATGAGTGACTCTGGTTCCTGTCTCGCAAGAGTCCCTAAAGGGTACAAATACTGCGGATTTCTGTTGTCTTGAAATCTGTTGTCCACTCCTTGGTTCACTGCCAGTGGCACGGGCTGAACAGAGGATTGTGGAGATGTCGCCAGTAGACATGCGTCACCACGAGCACTGGAGATTGTACTGCCGCTTCCCCATTCCGAGCCATCATCTCCCCAAAGCCCCCACTGCCCAGCACCAGTATAAGCAGGTATTTGCGGTTGTGTGGCATCCAAAAATGGCTGTGACGGATGTTTCTGACTGTGCCAATGAATCAGACGATCCGTCAAATCTCTTCTCACTTGCTGCAGCACTGCTTGATTTGGCAGTACAAACTTGACAAAGGTTTCGTCTCGTAGAACAATTTTGAGAATGGCGGTTGATGAAGTTGGCCTGTTGGCTCGATGCTTGGCCACTGCATCCCACAGAATTTCCATCGTTCCACAACTAGTGCCATTGGTGGCATCGGTAGAATAGACAATCCCCAGAGATAGGAATGATAGTAGACCCGTTTGAGTTTCTCCCTTGAGCCGTACGTCAGGATAGCTTGTTGTAGTAGGTGCGGTGTCTTGAGCAGGACCGACCTCAGAACTTTGGTACATGTAACTACTCATGGTTGATTGATTGATGGATGGCACTTGGCTTATTGGTGGCACCCGAAATCCTGCCTCCGTCACGGTACTACTAGATAGCAGATTATCCTCCGCATGTCACCATCATCTTAGCCTTTTCATGACTTGCTTTGCCACCCATCTGTGTACTTTGGCGCCTCATTTTGGTCCAGTCCTTCCAAAAAAAGATGCCCGTGGCCAAAATCTCTGGCATTTAGAACGAACGCAAAAGAGATAACAGAGGTCATTTCTTTGCTATTTAGTTAAATCTCTTGGACATACCGTACGATTAACGCCTCATGCAGCATCATCAATCATCTCCTTCTACTGGTATCATCTCTCACACCTCCCTTCGCCCTTCGCCCCTCGCACGGTTGGGCATGGTTGCCGTAGCTAGACAAAGAGTTGTCAGCTTGTCAGCTTGTCAGCAGGCAATGGAAGCACGTCCCATCGCTCAGGCACAAGACCCATCCTGTTGACATACCGTACCGTACACGTTTTTGCATACTTTTCCTCAAGCAACGTGAGTGGTCTGCAAATGTGGCTGCTCCTTTCTATGCTTATTGCTTCTTAAAATCTATGTGTAGTACAGTAGTGTTGTAGTTATGCATTCAATTTTATGATCTACGCTGTTATAAGTAGCTAGCTAGCGAAGTGTGTAAGTATTGGGAGCTATGCGCTCCGCGAAGTGAAGGTAAAGGGGACCATTGGTTGGCATGGAAGACTTTCGGCAGTCGTAGTAGGGCGGAATCGTCTCCGAGTTGGAGGACTTTGACGTTCCTGCCGTCGCTGCCGCTGGCATGGACTTGCTGCGATGCTGTCCAAACCAACATGGCTGTTCTGCCGTTGCGGGAGTCTTGGTGGCATCATACATGTGTCATGGCCGTCACAACGCCCTTCAGTGCTGCTCACGGACCCAAAATCGATGGCCCGGTCGTCGTCAAGTAGAAGGTCGTGATGTGAGTGCCTCACATGGCAGGGCCAGTGAACGTATCCATCGTCTTCTTCGTCTTCATGTTCTTGGGTAAAGAGTGACTGAAGCTCAGCAAGACCTTCGTCGTCCAAGGTAAGCGTTGATCGTCGACGAGGGGCCGTAGGAAGGTCTTCGCGGCTCATCTGGTCAAGTCTCGAACAGCTTGATTCGGTTTCGTCGTCGTCTTCTTCGTCGTCCAATACCAACACAGCACTTGCCTGTCTCCTGGGGAGAGCTGGAAGGCTCGTGGCGGATTGTCGCCGCTGCTCGTCGCCGTCGAAGACTACCGGTGCTTGAAGGCTCAATCGTCGCTTGGGCGGTGCTGGGAGACTCATATCGGAGTGTGGTTTCTCTTGCTGCTCCCTCGCAGGTCCTCGACGAGGCGCATGCTCACACCAACGGCATAGGTCATACTCCGCAAAGATGCAGATAGAGCTGTCATCGTCGTCGTCACACCAAAAAGCATCATCGGCGCAAGGGAAAACAACATAGCTTGGAACTGGCATGGTGGGGTTGGGTTTTGAGCAACAAATATATAATGGGATAAGGAATTGGCAACTGAAGAGAGTAGAGGTTGCTCGTGGTCAGGGAGGATGTCCCTTCAAGGAGCTTTTTGTGCCTTCGTCATCGATAATTGGCAGCTGCCCACGCAGCAAGACCTAAAGCTCAATAATTTTACATAGCCCATCAAGCTCCCCTATTGCTCCGCAACTCGCGCCACATGGCTCTTTCTTGATGCCACAAGTTGATGGAGGCAGTAGCGGCAAACGATAAAACATTACAATGAAAGAAAAGCACGATGATTCAAACTGTCAACACAAGTGCCTCAAATATTTTATTAAAGCCGAATACTGCTGAACAGCCTCTTGCTGTTTTCGTCACTCGGTGAGATAAGGCAATACTGAACCAACAGCTGCTGTGAAAAAGCTAAACAAGAGAGCTACAAGAGTGCCTCTTGCCTCTCATTACTGTACCGGTGTTTTAAAATAGCACCAAAGCCGAATGAAGAAGAACTCCAGTAGCTACTCCAGTATAGTACGTACTGCTCCCTGTATCGAAGCTTATACTCGAGGACATAAATACACGTACCCCCACTGAGAAGGCTGAACAGCCTATTTTCTGTATTGGCAACTCAAAAAGAAGGCATGCATAGCTCAAAACTCGTAAAAATGATGTTCCTTGGCCACATGTTCACACCTAGATTAATTTTTGGTTAACCTTGAGAGTTGAAATTTTTGAATGACATAAAGGGGCTTTTCAGCTGTTCTCTGTGTGGTACCGTACCCCGTACCGGAAGCTCATCAAAGCCTCAAAGCTCGAAGCAGCTTGAATGAATCCCGATACAGTACAGCCCCAAGTGCCCAAGTAATTGTCAACACGATGTCACTATGTGAAGCATCCTCAGCTCTGCTGTACTCAAGTGAGCTGCATCGATCATCAGTGGCACCAGTGCCAGAACCGTCCATGTTGCTTCCTGCTCGAGCACACAGGCTGCAGGAGCACTTTCAGCAAGCTTCCTTCATCTGTGACTACCGGCCACCCAGGAAAAGAAAGATTTTGATCCAACTCATTCCTGATGGCGCTGTGATGTAATAGTAGCTTCAACGCAGCCAATTATGGCTGGATCATTCTTCTTTTTGCTTGTAGGAGCGATAGTTAGTTGGCTGGGTGCTACTGAGTACTGATCTAATGATGTACTCAGAGGATTAGATTAGTCTAGCTCCCAGGCTGAATAGCTCACAGATTGTGGTTTCCTCACAGGAAAGCAACCATGACGCCTTCCTTAGATGTGGAGTTGAGTGGATAGCTACCTGCTATCGAAGAGTACCACCACAAAAGCGACGTTTAGTGCAGAATAAAAAGTAGAATGTTGCTCTACTGCAGGCAAATCGTACAGAGATCCTTGATCCCGATAGGCTGCAACAATGCTTGGTGCAATCACAGATCAGGGCAACGGGATGTTCCCCCATGTTCCCACTGTATCAGTACAGCAAATGCGGCCAGAAAAGGCAGGCTGGGGCAGAATCCTTATTAGCTACCTGTCTCTTACATGTACTTGCAACCAATCATCCAAGTGGGAGAGTTGTTTTGAGACAGCAAATCCTTCTTGTAGAGCATACTGTACGGATGGCAAGGAGGCAGACGAGGCACCGACGAAGCCCACCTGGTGAGTATCATGCATTTTCAATGGGGGATGTGGCCCTACCGTAGCTAGTTTTGAAGAACCCTGCAGCAATCTCAACCCTGATCAAGTGACAGCCTCTGTCCCGTGCAGGCCAAAGGAAGCAAACGACGAGGTTTTACGCTTGGAGGCTGTGTTGACAGTGCGTTTTGCTCCTATGCATAGTCTTCGGCTACAGTTCTTTGATAGTCGGAAGGGAGCTCACGAGTGAAGACACGAGGCTTGCTAGGCATAAAAGCACATGTAGCGCGTATGTGATGAACCTGAAAGCTTAGGATGCATTGTACGATTAGTTGTTACTTGTGTATAGTATTGCTACTGGTGGTACATGTACTTCTCCCTAGGCACTCCTTGAGTTTGACATGTGGAGAACCACTTTGCGTGCGGGCTGCTGGCGGTGCAGCGACGTCGACAGGGCCTCTGCGTTGCGAGAGAAACGTTCGACTCTGCTCGGAGTACGAGGATTGCACGACGGCAAGGGTAGCAAGCTGTTGTCAATTCCAGTTGTGCTTCCCTTTCGTTTGGGGAGCCTTGGCGGCATGACCTGGCTACGGCGACGACGGAGATTTTCCTCTTCTTGGAGATCGTCTCGGCAGGGGAGAAGCACATTCGTGAGGTCCCCTTCGTCTTCAAAGGACTTGATGCCAGTGCTTGCATTGCTTTGGGACAAGAGATCTTCAATGAAGTCTTCAATGGCGGACACATGAAAGCTCTCCTTTCGTCGAGGAGGCAATGGGGCAAACGAGGAGGAAACTCGTTTCTCTTCTTGACCGATGCGGGCATCTGATTCACCCCATATTTCCTCTTTTGCGTAAGCCTGAAGCTCAGATGATCCACTGCCACTGTCAAGGTTGAAGCAAGAAGTATCCAAACTAGGAGTGTGCAGATCGCTATCGACGATCTTGATCGCCTGTTGCACCTCGGCAACGCTGGCGGGCTCTTCAGGCTCGGTTTCTCCATCGGACTCTGTAGCTGACTCAATATGATGAAACAGGAACTTCTTTGGCAGTCGCACGCTGCATCTTCGTCTCGCAATGCGTCGGGGGCCGGAGTTGCAAACCTGTTCCTGCTGCTCCATGATTGGCGCAGGCTGCGGGCTCTGGTTGAACCTTGGGTATTTGATGCAGTGACTTACGTTGTTGGCCATGAGGCTATCGAACCGAGAAACTTCACCATCGTTGAATGTAATGACGGAGTCGCTGTCATCATCTTGGATGCCCTTGTGAAGGATGACAATATGGCTTGGGATATTCATGCTGGGCGGTGCCTTTTTTTTCAGACCTTGGCGAAAAATTGTGATCAAAATATGTGAAGACTAGAAGACAAGCAATGCTTCCTCTTTATCATCGATCAAGATTGTGTGATGCGGTACTTTATTAAATGAGCGTGATATTGGCACTGAGCACATCGCAGATGAAGTCCGATTGGAGAATTTTGGGTGAGCTGAGTGAGCTGTACATCGCAGATTCTTCCATCGGCCGGCGGCGTAAAACAAGGGGGGACGAATAGAAAGCTAAAGAAATGGCGTGGAGTTCGTTGGTAAACAGCGGCATTTAAAGGGAAGGTTTCGTACCGGTGGACTGATAGCTGACGGATTGACAGTGAATTCAGCCACAGGATTCGGCAACTCAGCTTAGGAAAGTGGACACTTAGAGGCATTGTTTGAAAGATCCACAAGGGAAAAGGGGAGGGAACATTGAAGAAGCTCACATCATCATTCAACAGCTCCGGTAGGCAACATCAAGCAACAGCTGAGCAACGACCTTTGAGCTTTGAGCAACACCAAAAGAGCGCAGTCAAGAGGTTTGGTTGCATATACCTTTGCTTTGTACTCTAGCTAGCTAGATTCGTTATTCTGAGGTTGACGCTGACTGTCTGACTGCATGTGTGCCCCACAACAAAAGGCCCTTCAGCATGTTGTAATCGTGCGTGCCTTACAAATCTTGCTTGAGCTTCAACGAGAAACTAACACGGTGCCAATCTTAGACGAGCAAGTGACTGTTGTTTCTAGCCACTCATCACTGGCATGCTACCTATGGTGCTGCTTGCCACAGAGCTACTGGAGGCAGAGTACATAGTCAGGTCAACGCTTCCGCATTGTTGCCTCTGTCTCCCTCAACAACAGCTCAGCCCAAGGGGCAACCAGCCGTAAGCCTAAGGCCGCAACATCCCCGACTGATATTGTGGCTGAGTGAATAGGTTCGGTATGGCTTTTGCAAATCGTCACCAGAAACAAGACTCTAGCTTTCTTTTCCAGGCTGAGCAATGGACAGTGTGGAATTTCTCTTCAGAAACAACGACGAGGCAAGTTTTCGGAGGAATCTTGACTCTTTACCTTCCTCCTCGTCAGCCTTCGTTTGCAGTTGCAGGCGCACCCTGAGCAATCTAGAGCTGATCTATCTAGTATAGTATCTAGCCCTGCCTCCCTGCAACAACAACAAAAACTTGAGCTGGCGAAAAGGGGTACCAGCCACCTGCCTCGACAGTCTGTTGAAGAAGTCGAGCAAGCTTCCCGTGTCGTCGCTGTGAGACATCAGTGTTCCTGGGGAGTCCGGGCCGATCTCTGGCTGTCGCATGTGTTGAATGACCCCACCAAAAGCACTCCGACCTATGTCCTAAAACAAAAGAACCTCAACGACGATTGTAATGGGGCTGCCAGGTCCTTTCCGATTTCAGGAGGTCGCTGCGTAGAGCGAGGACTGGGACTGGGACAATACTGTTGTGAGGAGCCAAGAAACTTTTTGATTTGTAAGTTTCTCGTCGCAAATGTGAGTCTTGCCCGACAACCGACAAGAGCACCAAAGAAACTAGGTTTGTGCTGCAGAGGCCGCCCCTTTCCGTTGAGGTGCTTTCAGCAACTATGGCTCCACAAGGTACCGCACACTCAGTCCCACTTACCAACCACCGCCCGAGCTCCGCAAACTCGTGCACTGGCTACACATCCGGCGCTTGATTTTGAAACTTTGCCACCCTCGACAGTTGTTGCACCTGGATGAAAGGGGCTGGTCCGCTTCCTCGCTCGCGATGCTAAGGAAGGCCAGAACCGAGTTCCAAGAAGCAGCTACTAATAGTCTAAAGTTGCAAGAATAGACTCGCAATAGTACATCGTTTTGACGATGATATCGTCAAGATACAGGAAACGCCATGTGTGGTTCATTGTCACTTCAACTTGGCAGCACGGGATATGAACAGCTAGTGCCAGTACCGCATCTAATGCTACAAACACCCTAGTGTTATACATGTAGCAGGTGGCGAGGAAAGGAGGCCAAATGATGAAGTTCCAAGCACGCCATCATTGATGGAAACATATCGATGGCCGCTGACAGAAGGGTCGGCTTGATATGTCCCTTCTCGGTACTTTGCATACCAAGAAAGAAACTTAGCAAATGCTACTATCTCCCTTTTAACTTGGCTGAGGAGGGAGGCTCTTTGAGCTCCTCTCAATAGTGGACTACATTGCACAGACGCATTGCTTCTTGCCGGACGGTCAACGCAAAACCGCTCCCAACTGATTTGAACGAAGTGATGGCTTCATCACCAGGGCAGCGATCAGACGCTCGTCCGGTACCGTAGTTCGGTTTGACTTCAAGATTGACTCATTCACCATTACCGCACTGGCTTTTTGAAACTACTAAAACGTGGGTTTGGTTTGCTTGGTGCTTGTGGTGCCACAAATAATCTTGTCTGCAAGTCGTTTCGGTCCGCAAGGAAGGAAAACCCATCCTCCAGCTTGAAAAGGAGGCTGATGTATGCACTTAGACTTGATGCGAGTCGACTCCTGGTCTCTCGCTACTGGTGCGGTGATAGGTACCGGTACCGGTACCGAATGCCACAACGTTGGCGCTAAGGAAAAGTATCCACGAATGAGAACCATGGAGTTCAGTCACAGTTAGCTGGTACAGTCGTAGTTGCTGCCCAGACAAGTCGAGTCAGGTGGAACCATAAAGGTACCCGTACTGATACTTGGTACAAGTATCTAAATTGTAATCGGCTGGCACCGAGATCAGGCAGAAAACCTCTCCAAGGCATGAGTTGTTGCTCTCTACCGGTACGCGAACCATATCGCTCGATTGAGCAGAGCTTGTTATGTTCACCGACTTATTGAAAGGTAGTTAATGAAGGTAGCAATCTGGTTGTTGGTGCCTTGATGGTGCGGCAGTCCTCAAAAAAGGGATGTTCGAGTCGCATTTCCTTTCCTCCGCTACGATGTACCGTACCGGTACATGTACTGTATTCGGTACCGGTATCATAGACCTTGCGCCAGAGCTGTGAGTGTCAGTCGCTGTTGATTGATCATTCAAATTTACTACACTCCATCAGCTCACACCAGCCAGTAAATTAGAAACATTCAACACTATCATTCGGGACCTTTGTTCTATGGTCGTTTACTTTTTTGGGGAGGGTCTTTTGGCATACAAACAGCTATAGCTAGCTCTAGTTGGGACTTTTTTTGTACTCATGGAACATCTATCGCTCTTTTCTTTCTTGGTCTACCACCCACACTACCTACCATGTGGCGAGCAATGAGAACAAGCCCAAAGACGCAAAGCCCGAAAGAGTCAAACCCCACATACCGGCACTGGATGCCTGGAGAGCAACCACCGCGGGAGGCCCTTCTTCTTCCGGTGCATCTGTTTTCTGACTTTCATGGGTGGTGACATCTGGACGACCAGCCCCACCCGGCTGATCGCCGTCAACAGTAGTTGGAGGAGAGAATGGTCCATAGTCCGACACGTCCGTAATGGTGGCCAGGGTAGGGTTGCCACTGGCTTGTAGCTTGGCCAAGTAGGATTCGGATCCGGCGGGGGTGGAAAAGGCAATGTCCAGCATGTCGGCACCGGTGGCGTTGACCAAGTGCGTGGCATTGCTGTGGTCTGAAGAGACACGGTACGACACAAACTGATAGTATATCAAAGTGGCTTCCGCCGTGACATTGTCAAATGTCGCGCCTCCCACGGGATACACTTGAATATCGGTAAGGACGTCCGTGAATCCCAACTCTGGGTACTCCATGAAGAATTCCTGCGTGTGAGCGACCGTCACGGCCACCCAGTCCGTCGTATCCTGGTTCGTCCAAGTACTTGCTCCAGTAGTGAGTGTCATGGTCTGGGTGGGAAGGATCTCGGTCTCGGAAGTGGTTTCAATGTCAAAGTCGGATTCCGGACAGTTGGAGCTGTTGGTTGTTGCCGTCGACGAGGTGTCCATTTCGTACGTCAATTGAGTACCGGCAACGCAAAAGAACTCTCCAATTTCATCTGCCACAGAACAGTACGTCTTCCGCTCTGTGCGAAAGCAAAAGCCTCCGTCTCCTTGTACCGTAATGAGGCATCCTCCATCCATATTTTCCGCCAAGGAAAAGCAGCACCCATCCGTCGAAAAATCGTTTGTCAACACAATCTCGTCACAGGTTTGAGTCGCATTTTCCACACAAGCACCCTCGCAACCGCCAAACAGAGCCGTGGCGCCATCTGTTGGAGGAGCAATGAGTAAAAGGAGGAGAGCGACGACGGCTGATGAGGAGAACGCCATGGGACTTCCAGTTGCCATGGTCAACAAGTTCGCACAAGTTTGTTGCACTGATTGGAGAATGTGCGGTCTGGCAGAGTTTGGTGTCGCAACTCCAATCAATTTTGGCCGTCATTGCCGAAACTGGCCAACCCAAAATTTCGAACTAAAATGCAGTAGGGATAGGGTGAAGAGCACCAAGTTAGTGCTGTCGGCTCCGGGGAAGGAAGCGTAGCTGCCTTGGGCTACCGGTACCAGTACCCAAGTTTGGACTGTCACTCGTCACTCCTCGGCACCAGCGATGGTGAAGTGAAGTTGTCTTGGGCAAAAGGTACGAGTACCGGTACATGTACTTCGGGGTGGCTCAAATCAACTCCAGATGCAAGTGTTGAACACAGTGAGTATTTGGCAGTTTGACTTTCTTTAAACGAAAGCTAGTCGCCCCTGATCCCATGGAGTGTAGTACCGAATTCCACCTCTTCTTTGCCGCCTGGGCCCCGGCCGGCTTCTTTCCTTCCCTGCTCTGGCTAGAAGCCCCTTCATTCCAGACACAACAAATGCCAACCATTGCACCCTGAGAAATTTGGCAGTATGAGTAGTCTTTTTTTTAAAATAATTGATTCAATTCTTATTTTATTAATCATTCCTTTGAGATAAGACGTCTTGAACCCAAGCCAACACCTGCCCTGTCCTTATAGTAACCAGATAACCTTCATCCCAGGGACAGCCATTTTCATGGGCATATCTGAGACTCTAGTGGCCATTTCTGGCAGCTTCTTCGCATGTGTCTCCCTCCCAAGGGCAGCCATTTTCATTGGGCATAAATCAGGATTCCCAGATGGCCATTCCAGGCGGCACCAGAGCATGTGTCTTCCCCCATGGACAGCCATTTTCATGGGCATATTGAAGTACATCTAGATGGCAATTCCAGGCAGCACCAGAGCATGTGTCTTCCCCCCATGGACAACCATTCTCATGGGCATATCTGAGTACATCTAGATGGCCATGCTGGCAGCATGATAAGCATGTGTTTCATTCCATGGACAATCATTCTCATGGGCATATTTGAGGCATTCAAATGTCCTTTATGTGTGCATTATGCATGTACCTTCATCCCAAGGACAGCCATGTTCAGGCATATTCAGGACTTCCAATTGGCCATTTCTGCAGCACCATTGCATGTACCTTCATCCCAGGGCAGCCATTTTCATGCGCATATTTCAGACTTGCCAAGTGGCCATTTTCAGCCGCATTTCTGCTTGTGGTGTCATCCCAATTGAATCCTTTTTTCCGGCCCATTGAAGGACACAAATATTACCCATGTGGGCAGCTATAGCACAGACAATTTCTCCAGGGATGTGTCCAGTGCAAGTGGTTTGGTGGTGGGAGAACCAATACTCCGCATGGTGTACCGAGCAGAATATAGCACTGCGGTTAGTATCCAAAGGGGTTGCCAGGCGGTCTGTACGAGCTGCAACATCAACTACCTTTGGAGGATTTTCCAAAGTTTCACAGTATGTTGTGTATAGACTTTCATGTGTGGCTGACGGTGCCACAAAGGCAAATTCCCAGTGTTAGTTGCTCTAAGCTCTCTTAGTTGTTACTGTTGTCTATTGAGATACTACTGAAAAAGTGGGTTCCTTGGCTTTTTCTACTGCATCAAATTCTAGTACAGAGGTACAGGTTGAATCCCTAATCGCGAATCCCCAACACACTCCTGTGTCGTCGAGCTTGTCCTAGTCGCGACCATGCTTACTTACTTACTCCGCTTGCGCTCCTTCTTTTGAACGGACTTCTTGTCCGACCGTGACCCCTCCTCTGAGTGCCCTGGCTCTGAGTGTTCCACAACACCCATCAACTTGTCCACGTTCTTTTTGAACAGTCGACCTTGGTTCGGCTTCGTCCAGAAGTCCGCAACCATATCATCAGTTGACACCAGTCCACACTGATCTCCTTCTTTGCGACTCTGTCGCTCACCACAAGAAGTACCTAATGTTGATGTGCTTCGTTCGTTTACTACTAGAAGCTTTCCGTTCTCTCTAGAAGATGGCACCTTGTTGTCCTGATAGACTATATTTTCTTTAACTACATAGCCTTGCTCCCGAAGGAAATGCCTCGTCCAAAGGATCGATGGCATCGGTCATCAACTGCTACGAGTTCACTCTCAGTCGACTTCTCGTGTTCAACTTCTGTTTGTCGAAGTCGATAATGGGTAACCGGTGCCCATGGTCAAACACCTCCGGTATGACCCCTCATGTTGGATGGATGCGAAAGAACCATCAACATACCATTTCAAAATGCCACTTCCGTCGGCTTTGAGAACTATGGAGTTTTCTAGTACTCTAATGTACTGCATGAGGTGGACTAGTTATCCCAATCGTGCCTATCTGGTTCCTTTACTCTAGTCGTGAGGAACGATATTGCCGTACCTGTGTCTGGTCGGCCTCTCTTCGTAGCAATAGCACCTAGCCACCAGGCTGTGAAAGGTGTCGCCTTGCTCGTTGGGAGCTTTTTGCAGGATTGTCTACTGTGAATAGGTCCTTCGGGGCTGCACTACTTCTAGTTTTCGTGCCCCCTTCCTCTGGCGATGCCTTCTCGAAGGCTTCCAGGATTTCATCAACGTACTTGTACATTGATACGTTGCATTGACCCTTCGTCGTGAAGTCTATGGTCATGCCAAGATACGTGTGGACCTTTCCGGCTCACCGTCATCTCTCCAGTGCCGTTCTCGAAATATGCTTTCGTATTTCATCACGAAGCACTTGGATCAGCTGGTCGTTAACCTTTCGAGTCCTTGTGGCTAAGCTTACAGTCGTCTACATGCAGCAGACTGTTTGTTGCTTGCCGTGCACCATTCTGTTGGCTACACATGGTCGTAAGGATTAATCTTAAATCCGTTCCGGACCATCGTCTTCCGGAACTTACGGTAGTATAGTAGGCTACGCTACCATGGTGCCGTAGATGGCATTCAAGCATTGCAGTAGCAACTGCTTGTTGCCTTCTATCCGTTGTCACGAACGGTTTGTAGAATCTGGGGCTATTTCACACAGCATGTCTAATAGTACTCCTCTTACTCTAAGATTACCATATTTTTTCATCCTCAGACTCGTGTCTGGATGAAGGCGTTCGGGATGTTCAATTACTGCCACATCCCTTTCCTCTTCAACGTCGATTATGCAGGGATATACACTGCTTCTGTCGACAACTGTTGGCGAGCTTGCGTTTTCCTTGGAGATGAAGTCACGCTGTTTTTTGCCTCCTGCAACCGCTCGGCCTTTGATCTTCCCGTTCCTTTTCAGCTTAAGGAACAGGTGTGACTCTAAGATACTCTGG